AGAATTAATCGTTCCTCTTCTTGGCACGCGCTACAACCTTTGCGTTATCGATTGCGATCTTGTGACCTGTCCGTGTGCAGTGGTTCCAGATTTGAGACCTCAGGTCAGCTCGTCGGAGGACAAGCTCGTGTTCGTTTAGGCGAGTTTTTAGCTGTTTGCCTGTCTCACCTATGTTCTGTTGGTTGCAGCTCAAGCACGGGATTGCGTAGATTACTCCTGATCATTCGTGCTGTTCGACTCGATTCTTGCCGTTGGAATGAGACGAACGCGCGGTTGCTGCTGGTTTANTATAAGCAATCTTGATTCCCAACTGTCGGAGTATTCGTTCGGTGGCTTCTGGCGTGCCGCGTATGTAAGGTAGCGTTATCCAAGCTCCTTCTTTTGTATGTGTTGTTTGTTTATTACCTCTGAGGCACGGTGTGATAAAACTCCTGAGATATACGTTTTATAGGAACAGTTGAAAGAGTCAACTTCTTTATGATGTCCATAACTCCGGTGTGCTACAGTGGAACCAAAAGCGGCGCACAAAATTCATGGTTAATGGTTGTTAAAACTGAACCTGATTCGTCCGTTTTCGAAAATTTCTAATTTCGTAGCATATCTCGTTTTTGTTTCCTGTTGTGTTTGAAGTTTGTTGAATGATGCATTTTATGTTTCTGTTTCCCTTATTGTTCCGTCAGTAATCGATCTACTGCTAACTCACCCCTCGATACACAAATTTTGACTATGATCTGCATTGATTTTTCTTTGTTTTTTATCGTATACATTTGTGCGAACAGCTCAGCAAGAGCGTGCAAAACTTATGAGCTATATCAGTTCCACTTAATTGTGCTTTTCAAGTATATGCAGGGCAAATGATGCTTCTGTTAATGCGCCTTTGCTACCGCTTGGCATTCAGCTTCAAATTTCTGGTTTTCAAACAAAGTATGGTCTATGTCGTCATCCCTGAATGAAGAAAGCTGAATTATATTTTGACTTCAGTGCTCATTGTTCACGAACAAATCCCCGTACCATGGTTTCCAGCTTACAAAGTATTATACTAGAATTTGAAACGAATTGGATAGTCTCCACAGAAACTTTATAACTGGCATGAGTTCCCCATTAAGCCTAATCAAAGTAATCAGAATGGGTAATGAAAAGAACCTTCTCGAGAATGCTACCTCAATTATTGAGGCTATTTGTGCGGCTAAAGGAATCGTTAGAAAATTAGGAATAGCATCAATGTTTAATAACTTGAACAAATAAGATTTTCTGTTCTGGCAATCCAGTTGTGACTATTTCTCGTTCGATTTACAGGATCTTGTTCAAAGATTCATCTTCCATCACTATGAAAGTCAACTGCACACTGACAAGAAATTTGATCCACGTAAACCTCGTGACGCGTATCGTACGGATGCGATTGCCTCACTACTCTTCGCCGCCGAGAACAACGATCTGGCCACACTGCGAAGGTGCGTGATCGGGTTCGTTATCTGACACCGATACGGTTCATTGCGGTTATACGTTGTGGTTTGCATTTTCACATAAGTATCGTGGTAACGGAGTCTAAAATGATTACTGAACATAAACACTAGTATAGCGAGAATGCATCACATCTTCCCCCACGATCGCAATTTACAAGTGTCCGTGTCTTCTACCCATTTCACTGTTCTTTTTGTCACGTTTTTTTCTGATTCAAAGGCTGTTTTCCTTAGGCATTTTATCGGCGACTCACATGATGTAAGGTTAGCTGCATGGTTCAGTCTGTTTTTTTATACATAACGTAAACTCACATTATTGTTCTCACTGTATATAAAACGTATCAACTGTTCCATCCGTGCATTCGTCCACCCGCTCCCATCCTCTAATCCGGATTTCACTTCGCACAACACCGATTGGGTCCATGTGCAGAAGCTATATCAGTGGTGTGGACTTCACCTCAGTTGACTATGACGGTCGGACAGGGTTGCATGTAGCGGCCAGCTCGGGTTCCTTGGACGCTGTGCGATTTTTCATTGAAGTAGGCGGTGTGAATCCGAATCCGGTCGATCGCTGGGGTCACACACCGTTGTCCGAAGCAAAACACTTCAATCACACGGCTGTGGTCGAATACTTAGAGCAGTGAGTCGTGATCGACTGGACTGAATGCACACACACGCTTGTCAATGTGACTCCGGTCATGTCTGTCTGTCTGTTTGCACCATGTGCAGATGTGGTAGTTAGGCTCAAAAAATGTTTCTCTTTCTATATCAGCCAAGGTATTTAGAGGCAACATCGTTCATCAATTTTGCATACACTCTTTCAGCTTTAAACGCATATTTTTACAACCTTGTTATTAGAATAGGGTGGTGGACAGAATGTCGTCTTTCAAACTTGCAAACTTGTTCCCAAAAGCCTTGGCCTTTGCTGTGGAAAAACTTCCATCGAAATAAATTGCTCGACATTTACTGCACTCCGTTAACACAGTTAACTACCAAAAGTTTTTCCAATTTTTAATAATTCTCGAAGACCATGGATTATGTGATTTATATATGCGATCATTATTCATCGTTTGAAACCGAAATCATGTGTTTAAAAGAAATTTGTTACGTAACTATTGTTGGCGTAGTAGCGGTTAGATTGCACCGAGTACCACCGTGCCATATGGTGTGACGTGTCCGTCCTGCATTCATCAACTTATTTCAGCAGAACTTATTATCAGACTTTATACCTAGGTTGACCTTACTCTGTAACCAAACCCAGTTACGCAAATCGACCGTTACCCTATTAAAATGACTCAATTCAACTTTTGCGTTTCTCCTTTTGACATTATTGCAAGACCGTGCATTTACAGTTGGAGCAGAGTACCAGAAATCAATGGTTAATATCAATTCTGCCGACGTATGCCTTCTTTTGTTAATGAAGTAGACGAAACGAAATGGTTGCTCCACATATTTTAAGGTGTTTACGTCAAATTAACTTCAAATAATTGTTAGTCTGTCATTGTAGAATTCAAATTTCCGTTTCCTGCCAGTTACACGTTAGATGAAAGTGTGCCTATATTAGTACTGTCATTTGCATTGGTCGCTCCAACATTGTACATATTTGACTTTTACGTAACTCCATCTTCTGCGGTTGCTCCGTTTTTTGACAACTGTACGTTACTTCGCCTCTGGATCGCTGTGTCGAATTTTACATTTGCGATCTCGACATAGAGAATCATTTATCGATTACTTTGCAAGCTGTTTCTAAGATTCGATTGGTGTTGTCAGTGCCTATACTACCGGTAGCTCCGGTAAAAAGAACTGATTCGACCCTGACCTTTCGCTCATTCTCCTTTCCTGGTATTGATAAGGTTTCATTGCCCCGCTACCAGTTTGTGCTATATCCACTTTTCAACAGATTTGAATATGGGTGTGGTTTGTAGCCCAGGTTGATGGTTTGTGGGGTCTTGTGTTCGCTGATCTTGGTGTTTAGATCGCAAACGTTTCATCACCAGCCGAGGTGACATTGTCAGTGCGTTGGTGATGATCCCCGTACTTGTGTTTATTTATAGTATTCCTACCCTAGGTTTGACCTTGAGAATTGTTCTCGCAGTTAAACTTGAAGACGGTACTGAATTTGGTAACTTGACCTTTGGTGGTTGCTATAGAGATGACCTTTGCGCACCAAGGTTACTAGATTTAGTAAGTTGACCTCTGACTGTGACCTTGACCTGTCAGAGTTACTGAATTTAGTAGCAGTTGTACCAAACCTTGTTAACAGTTTGAAATTTTCGTACTTGAGAATAAATTTGAAGGTTCTTTTGTGCATGGTATTTGGGGTTTCTGGTCATGGGCCGGTGGGCATTGAACCGGTCAACTCCTCTTCTGTTTTGTGAATAATTTGGAGACCTTGCACCTCAGCAGATTGTAAACTTTGTCCAGTTCGATGTGTATATTCGATTCTGTAGATGACATTTCTTCTCTCATCCTTTTTTTCGGCTTTGAAATGTTTTTTCTCCTAGTTTTTCTAGGCTTGTGGGCAATTATCATGCCTTGTGGTTTGAGCATTCTTGCGGCCATTTCCGAGATTATCTTGATGTGTGGAAGTACTATCTTCTTGTCGGATTGTGTTCGTTGATTTGGCTCTCTTTGTGTTCTGTGAAAGATTCTCCGTATGAAGTTTCTTGGGTATCCGTTTCGTTGGAATATTTTGAAGAGATACTTCTCTTCTTGTTCTCTTAGTTCCGTTGTGCTGCAATGTGTTCTCGCTCTCTTAAGAGAGCCAGAATCGAATGCAACAATTGTGACAAATGTTACATTGGACAAACTGGAAGAAACGTTGCAACAAGAATTCATGAACACAAACTTGCGATAAGAAGACACGACCCTCTTCCATTGATGTCCGTGCATCAGGACCAAGAAGGACATACGTTCAATTTGGACAACTTTCACATGCTGGATCACGCGAGCACAAGGCATTCAAGAGAATTCCTGAAAGCATGGCATTCATCAACAAACTCAATCAATATACACATCGAACTGGACAAAGTTTACAATCTGCTGAGGTGCAAGGTCTCCAAATTATTCACAAAACAGAAGAGGAGTTGACCGGTTCAATGCCCACCGGCCCATGACCAGAAACCCCAAATACCATGCACAAAAGAACCTTCAAATTTATTCTCAAGTACGAAAATTTCAAACTGTTAACAAGGTTTGGTACAACTGCTACTAAATTCAGTAACTCTGACAGGTCAAGGTCACAGTCAGAGGTCAACTTACTAAATCTAGTAACCTTGGTGCGCAAAGGTCATCTCTATAGCAACCAATAAAGGCCAAGTTACCCCACACATATATCCGCTTTCCTTACACAGACAACCAGTGGCGACCAACGATGCTGTGAAACGCTTATAACCAATAGCTGTCTCATTAGGCTCTAACAAACGATTGGATCACGGAAGGCATTCCTACCTCTCAAACTTCACATCCTTGCATCCTTACGTATTCAATCTGCGAACAGCACTTCCGTCCACCCTCCACTGGATGAAAACTGACCAGTAGAATTCAGTTTGTAATCATCTCTCTGGAACTAAACCACCCGTTACAAAGTTATTCATCATGCACAGTTGGTCTACCACACATCTCTGCAATCCTCGAGAATCACCACCAGATTTGTAACCGATGTAGTCCGAATGCGAAGTCATGATAAACCGGGATGGCATCAGCAGTCGGTTCCATCTCATCTGTCTCCTAAAAAGGGTCACCAGCCTCGACCCTAAACACCCACCCCGGACCATTCTGAGGCTTTTGGATGCTACTCACATAATATATAAATAATATATATAATATATGTAATACATACTATATGTGATATGTACATATAATAATCTGTGATATAGGCATATTGTTACTCATATAATGTGCTTGTGTCAAGCATCAGTTTCTCCTGCTTTATTTATTCAACACGAGAATAGAAACATGGACCGAATGGTAGGGTTTAATAGTCAATTTCCGTGTGATCTCCACCAAGCACGCAACGGCAGTAGTCTTGGGATGTCAGTCCGGTAAAACTAAAACTTCCCCGACGAGCATATATAAATATGGAAACATCCCTATCCTCGTGCTGGAATAGCGGCATCGATTCGCTTCCAGGTTGCTGACTGTCTGATCTAGAGCATGCGGACGACATTGTGCCGCTAAGCGAAGGTGCAGGCAAGTTGTAAGCTTTTCTGGATAATTTGAGTGTTAGTGTAGCCATGTTCAGTATGCGTTTTGCACCTTCAAGTGTAAAATGCTACTACAAGACTGGGTTGGTTCAGCACCCAGCCTCACTCTAACTGGGGAAGTAATAGAGGAAGTAGACAAATTTTGCTATCTGGGCAACTTTATCTCACCCGATGGATGCATCACGTATGAAGTGTCGGCTCGCATACAGAAGGCTCGGTTGGCATTTGCCAACTTGGGATATCTGTGGCGTCCTCGCGACATCCGGCTTTCTGTTAAGGGTCGAATGTTTGTCGCGGCAGTTCGGCCAGTTCTGCAATGCGGCGCAGAAACTTGGCCAATAAGAAAACAGGATAAAGATAAATGGTCGGTGTTTGAACACCGCTGTCCACGCAGCATTGCACGAATCTGGTGGGGCGGCCGGACGAACAATGCTGAGGTTAGGTGCAGAGCTTTTGGGTAACCGCGATCGCTCACTGGAGAAAGTGGTCCATCTCTATGGATTACCTTAGTTGGGACATGTGTTATGCATGTCACCAAGTGGGTTGCCACGGCGAGCGATGTTCGCTGAGACAGGTAATGGGTGGAAGAAAGTCAAGGGTAGTTAAGCTAAGACCTGGCATGAGGGTATGAAAACCTGACCAAGGGATTGGGTCACATAGGTCCCGTTAGGCTCCCTGGATGGTTAGAGACACTAAGTGATATGGCTGGGTGTCGTAAACATTTGCGTTCTTGCATCTTCTGGATTTCTTTGCAACCTTAGACCACTGAAATTCTTTATTTTCTGTTGAACTCTACTTTCAACCTTCCTGTCTTTCTTCTATTCCTCGTCCAAATGGGCAACCAAAACCAGCGCACGAAAGTGCATGGGTAATGGTTGTACAAACTGAACCGAACTGATATAAATGTCTATCTACTTTGCATATCAGGATATACTTTTTTTCTGCACACCGTTCTTATAATGTCCATTTGTGAATCATTAATATGTTGGTGTATCTGTATGAGTAGTAAATTTGAGCACAGGGTTGAGGTAATCGTAAAAACAGAGTGGAGGCCAGTTCACTTCTTGAAGCGAATTGATTCGAGGACATTGTTTTTATTTTATCTTCACACAATCCACAGAGTCTTCCCCGTATTGGCATTAAAGTGAGTTCAATTGTAAATCCTCTATTCTGTTTCTTTAATTTGTGAGTAAAGATAGGCTCGTTTGAACTTCCCGCCATCCTACAACTTGCTTGTTTTTACACAGTTGCCTAAAATATGAATTGGTATTTTGCACCTGTGCGCAGTTTGTCCGTTAGATAACACGACAATCTTATTGAACTGTTATATGGTTCAACACTCCCGCCCTCGAAATTTCGTTACCGACTATATACTTGTGAATACGGACTTCACTCCATCTATCGATGATTATGTAGTGCTAATAATTAATTTTGAGGAT